AATAACTTTTTTATGAGTTTGATTAAATTACATATAATTTAGATGAGAGTATTAACTACTATAAGAAAGTACTACATTTTATTTACCGGAAACAATTAAAAAACCATTAAGAGTGCACACAAAACATATTCAATTGTTCATGAACTAATTTATTTGTGTGAAGTTGAAGTTTTTGTGTGGGATAAAATTTCTCTATTGGATAAATTGATTTCTTTATGGTTTTTAATATATTGGAGGAAATTAAAAGTTAGTTATGATGATGGAATGAAGGTTACTGTCATCTCCACCCTTATACTAATTTTGGTGCTACTTATGATCAATCCTTCTAGTGAATGATTTGCAAAAGTAAAGTCGATCATAAGCAAATGAAAATCATTAATTAGATAATAAGAAAACAGTAAAAAAGAGTTCTTCCAGTGTACTCATGTGAATCATCACTCAAATGATATAAATTAATTATGTAATTGAATGAAGAATTAAGGGGAAAACAAGATCGTGTAACAAAGACAGTTTCATCGTTTTGAAGATAGGAACTCACAAATTTTAAGAATTTAACTTGAATGATCTAGTTGCTAATTGTTATCCCTGTAGGCCACATCTTTGATCTCCTTACCTAATAGATCAAGGCAGACTAAATAGAACTAATTATTAATTCAAAATATAATACAGTTATTAAAAGAAAATGTTGAAATATGATCTAAGCAATTTTTTGTGAGATCTGCAACAAAAAAACCCACACGTATCACCCATAATTCAAGTACTGCAACTACTGAGCTTATAGTTTTCCTCTAAAAGTTCACATCCTTTATTTAATTTGATAAACTCTGAACTAGGCCAGTGATTTCTAGTTCATGTCACAAATGCCAAAATTTCCAGAAGCAAACTTTTTGGCAACTAACTATCCCAAATTTGGTCATCTCATAAATTTGGTTTTATTATTAACTTACTATAGTTGGATTGTGGATTGGTAAAAGATTTTTTACAGTTGTTACACTGACTAGGATGGATTTGCACATGAGAAGATGGAAAGAAGTTTTAAACTTTGTGAATTGACAAATATGAAGGCCTGGTGAACATTCTAACCCTGCCAAATTGTGGAGGGTAAGGCTTCTAGTTGTGTTTTCTCCTTGCATGATTGGTGCAATTATCCCAAATTTTGTGTAGAAACTTTAGAAATTAGAAAAATTAGGGCTACAAGGTGGAATGTTTTATTCAGTTTTTACTTCTAATATCTTGAAACTTATGTAAGGATTGAAGTAATATTTGTACTTTTGGATCCTCAATCAATAATACTTTTATGTTGGCCAATTTAAAAAAAAAAAAGAAAAAAAAAGAAAAGAGCAACATTCTGTGCCAAGCTGTATTCTGATATAAAAGAGACATCAGTTAGCTGAACCAACACAGCAATTTTCTCAAGGAGCAAGAAGAAAGTATGATAAGAATGATGGTTGTTACAGTACAAATTGAAACATGAAAAAGGAAAGAGAGTCTACTTCCTGAGAGATTTGCATTTCATTCTGCAAATCTGCGTTGGATCCTTTTCTTCATTGAATTTCCAAGCAGAAACAGAAACAATTGGTGTTCCCTTCCAGTTAACGATTAGGGATTTCCCATTCATATTGAACGTACAAGAATTTCCATGAGGAAACTTTTTGGCTCGCAACTCTGCTTGGAACAAAGATGATGAGCTTAGCTCTGTTTCCACCGGTCCAAAACTTTCCAAATGAGTTCTGCAAGCATCAATCTTCATGTGCCAATAAATCCTATCCTCATCCTTAGCTGCAACAATGTTCTGTATACATGGACCAAAGTATGTTGCTTATAAAATCATCCTGTTTGAATCATATTGATTCATGTGGTCTTCAACACAATCAAAAGCGGCACCTGGGAAAGATAATGCTTCAAAAAACCGTTCCATGAAAGTAGGTGGAAAGTGTTTTACCTCAAGCTCTGTTAAGACCATAGCACTTGGATTTAAGCTCTTAAATACTCCCATTACGTATTCCAAGCAATCAGGCTGTGCTAAAGTTCGTCTTGGCACAGGCCGTGGGTAGATGACAATAGCTTCATCATCATGTAACTCAAAGGTATCTACACTGATATCTTTTAAGTTTGTCACCATGGCAGCTTTGAATGAAAAGGGTATATTTAAGGCAATTGCAAAAAAAGCCAGCCTTTTACCTGTTTCTTCAATTTTCTCTCTCAATGCCGTCCCAACAGCAGTTATTTTAAAAAGCTCAAGTGGAAATTCCTTCCGAGTTGCAAGTGCTTGCATCAATACCATACATGGCCCCCCATTTCTAAATGCAATGTCAATAAGATGAACCTTTCTTGCAGAGGCCACACTTTCTACAATCGCTTAGACTCCTGGAAAAATACTAACTTGAACAATAGGAATATTTAGGTAACCTGCAACTGAAGCATTATCCACCAACACTATTGTCTCATCCAGATGTAACAGCTCTCCTTCTTTACTTCCTGTTGACCTTGATGTAGTTCCCCAGTTGCACGAGTAATCTTCTCCTGAATCGCCTTAGTAAAATAATGAACGAGTCTCTGAACTGAATTTCCAGTATTTGTAGACAAGAAATCACAAAGTTACAAGAGATTTGCTTGCCTGACAAAATTGTTGGCAACTAACCTTCTCAGCTAAGGCAAGCAAAAGAATTGCGAGCTCCACATCTTTAATCTCCTAAGTTGAGAGACCAAAACAAGCAGAATGGAAGAAATCATTAAGCTTACCGATATCAACACCGTCATTAAAAGAAAATTTCGGTGAAATGTTCTCTTGCAATTCTGAGGATATCTACAGTTGACAATCTATGGGCATCATCCATAATTAGGCTAATGGTTTCTCCAAAACGCATATCCCTTCTCTAGTCTGATAACTGTTAATCATCGCTCTAATATCTTGCAAGAACCAATGATTCTTCATCTCATTTCACATCAAGGGGAAAGATTGGTTAGTAGTGTCAATGAGAAAGAAAAGCCCACCAAAACAGAGCTGATTATGTTGGTAACTCCTTTACCTCTCTGTAGTTTCTCGGATGGCCACAATGGGACTCACTTCATAGTTTTCTAAATCTTGCTGTTGAAGCCTAGTCCAAATACAATAAGAATTTATAACAACGCATTTACCAAATACTGTTCTGCAACCAGAAACAGATTTTGTAGGAAAAGTTACATACACCAAACTACTAAGAGCATAATCTAGCGGAAGACAATTTAAAAAAGAGACAGGAAAATGAGTTCTTGATGTAGGATGATTGAATAAATTACATAGTTGCTCCTAAGACAACAAAGAGTACAACTACAGTTTTTTTTTTTTTTTTTTTTGGATCGGCGCTACAGCTACAGGATATGACATATAAGCCAAGAAAAACAGGAAGCATGATGTTGTCTCATTATATCATCAATTTAGCCTTAATCAATTGATAAAAGCACTTTAACAGTTATCACAGAGACCAAAACGCATTTTTTTACAGGCGAAGAAATGAATTTTATTAAGGAGGTAAAAGGTTTACCTCAACCCATTACATCCTTATTTACAAATTCAACCGAGCAAAAGAACTAAAACAGCAAATCAAACTCCCACTTAGGAAAATCATCAACCATCTCGCTGGCATGTCAACAGTGAACTACAATTGCTGATAAAAAAAAAAAAATGGTGAACTACAGTCCTTCAAACGCTTTATCCTCTGCCCTCAAAAATTTCACACAAAACGGACCCCAGTTCAATTGGACCAAAAAACAATAAATCCATTCAATGAATGAGCAATCAACAACATTACCAAAGTTAAACCGTGACCGAAATGCATTTGCACGGGGGAAGATAAGTGGTTGGAAATTGTGTTTAAAACAAGTTTACCCAACAACAATAGCTAGCATTACAACAGGCAGAATGAGAATGAATTTTCAAACATGAGGAATATATTTCATTTACTCACGAGCAGGCTTCTAGTGGGGTGTCTTCAATCAGGTTCTTCCTCTCCAATTAATTCTTTCCATACAAAAGAAAGAGTTTGTTTTCTGGGATGTCTTCTTCCATGTTGGTTTTTTTTAAAGAAAAAAGATTAGGCAACTGAAGAAGATGCTTAATCCACTAAAACTGATGAATATGCATCAAAACAGTAATTGAACTCACATGCATTAGAAACTTTGAAATAAACAAAATCGTTAATGCTTGTATTCTATTTTTTTCTGCTTTTATCCCATGATAAGGGCAATAAAGTTAGAGGTATAATTGCTAATACATGACCATAACTTTCGAAAAAGAAAAGAAAGGAGAGATTAAAAATGAGACTATCTTTAAGTTAACGAGAGAGAAGAGATACATGTTTCTCGCTCTCTTTCCTTTTCACTTCAACTTTCTCAATCCAGACAGAGTGTAAAAGATAAGTGAAAAAAAAAAAGTCTCTTAAAACCATAATGAAAAAAGAAATTACCTTTCAGTTCACATGTGATGATCTTGTATACACCTTTACATTCAAAATAAAGGGCTATATGACTGTAAACTACATATTCTGATATACTAGAAAGTAAAAAAAGCATGCTTTTATTATAAAGAATAAAAAAGGTAAAAGTCATAAAGCATTATGAAGAAGTGTCCAGACTCCAAATATATAATCTTTCAAAATTCTATAATAACAGATTATTGGCTTTGATGAATAAAGAGTTGAGACTGAATGCTATTATGTCCATCAAATCCACAACTCAAAGAAACTTCCAAACAGAAAGAGAATGAAAAGGTGTACCCTTCCACCCAACAATTAGGCTTTTTCCATTCAAATCAAGCGTACAAGAATCCCAGGACGAAACCTTCTTAAGCAATAGTTCTGCTTGGTACAAGGATGAATGGCTTAGATCTGCCTCTACCAATCCGTAATGAGCAAAGAATGCCCTCCAAGTATCATTCTTCACACTATGAACCTTCCTCTTCTGATGCTCTTCTGCAATAATGTTCCGGATTCCCTCTCTAATGAACATTGATTCCAAAATAGTCCTATGCTCATCATCCCACCTCATGCAATCTTCAAGGCAATCAAAATATGCACCATGGAAGAAGAGAAATTCCATGAAAAGGTTCACACATGTTGGTGAGTTGTAGTTTGCCTCAGTTTCAATTACAACCCTTACACATGGATTGATGTTTCTAATAACTCTCATCATATTTTCAAACCGGTTTGGTGTCGCAGGCATGCTTTGAAGAACTTAGTGAGCATGAACAACAACTATTTCCTCAGCATCCAATTCAAAGAGATCTTCTTTGAGATCTAGCATGTCTGAGACCATAACAATCTTAAAGGAAAGGGGCAAGCCCATGCTCCTGGCAAAACACATTAACCCCCTACCCGTTGAATGTTTTGAAGTAGTTCTTAAGGCAGTTTTCTTTAGATGTTCAAGAGGGCATTCATCTTCAGCTGCAAGAGCTTCCATAAAAGCTGTCCATTTCACCCCACTAATGATATTAAGATCAATTATGTGAACCTTTTTTGCCCCAGTGACATTTTCCACAATGGCTTGGATCCCAGAGAATTGCATAACCTGGGAGAAGGGTGCTTTTTCATCAAGTACCACTAACGAGGCATTTGGGCACATTAGTGCCTCATCACCATCAAACACCTGTTCTTTTACCAAACTCTTTGATGTGGTTCTTCCTGTTTCTCAATCAATCTTCTCTTGAAGAGCTTCTGAAAAATAGTAGACCACTCTTTGGACTGGATTTCCAGTTTTGGAAGACATTTTATCACACTGGTTGAGTGGTATGCTTGCACGGTCATATAGTTGATGCCCTACTTTTTCTGCAGAATCAAGGTGAAGTCTGGCAAGCTCCACATCATTGGCCTCTTTATCGGAAAGATCAAATGGATGGCTAAGAGTGGAGAAACCATCACGATTCAAGTGAGAAGACCGGATATAACATCTCTTCAGCAACCCTCATGATTTCTTCAGTTGTGTTGGGTCAAATGTAACAACTATGACAATTGCTTCAGAATGATGGTATAAAAAGAAGGGACTTCCTCTGAATTGTAAAATCAAGCTCACATCATCCTCAAAGAATTTCATCAACAATACACCAAAAAAACTAACGAAGACTCAAAGGAACATGCCATCAGTAATAAATAAAGAATCAACAAAGATCAGGTAACTGACAGAGGATACACATAATAAAAGGAAATAATATTTGGATTTAGACATGAAAAGGAATCTTCCAATGACTTTCAAGGTCTGACAACTCTTCGATTTTGTCTGTGCACACCTCCCCCTTGTCTCCATGTTTAACAGCTAAAATGCAACATCAACAAAGAAATGGGCTTCAGTTTTTTAATTAATTTAAGGCCAAAACAGAATGCTTTTCCTTTTCAACACAACTATGTAACATTCGTACATTGACATCAAGGAGAGAGATTAGTCAATGGGTTTGAATGGGAAAAATTATACTCAGCAAAATACACCTCATGTGAAGGTGACTATCTGCTTTAGCACTATCTGCAATTTCGAATTTGTTGCTAATGTAACCTAGACCAAACCAGCAAAACAAGGATCGAGAACAGGAATCAGAAGGCATCAACTTGGCACTAAGACATTAAAAACTATGATGACATGACTCAAACATGAAAATTGCCTTTCACTCATAACCATTGGAAGGCTTTTGAGAACAATATATGTTACATGCAGAAAGATATGATGAGAGAAACATTGCATATGTGAAAACGTACTAAGAACTCCAATTGGCCATATTATATATGATGACAAGAATTAATCATAAAAAACGCCTTTCCTTGTAGCTTTGTGTTCTTTAGACAGTTGGGGCTGCTGAAGAGATGATTATAGAAGCAAGAAAAAATGCAAGGAGTTGCATTTGTTGACAATGGGATCATTCTGAAGCAGTTGTCACAGTAGGAGGCAGAGGATTGGTGCTTGATCAGGGGAATGGACAAGGATTGAAAAATACCTGAGGACAATTTGGCTGGCCTTCGAAGGCTGAGATGCTGCAAGAGCCCTTCTTCTTCCTTCTATCTCCAACACTGATTCTGTCTCAACCATAGACATCCTTGGAGCACCGTGTTTTTCCTTACCATTCACTCTGTATTGCTATTTGACACTAGAAAATCCACAATGCAACTGTCTATTACCATAAAATGATCAATAGTTGAAACTCAATCTTTTGGAGAGTGATTTTTCCATAAGCAATATCCATAAACGAATGATCAAATCTCTTAGCTCTAGTTTGCCACTGATTTCATATGAAAACTAGTATTTAGTTTATTTAGCAGCATGTAAGGTGATCATCCATCTATGAACTATCTAAAACAAATGACCCAAGACTCTATCTTCTAGTCAGACTCCCCCTCAAGTATCTTGAGGTAACTTCCTTCCTGGTTCAGGATATATCCACAAAATACACTACGCAAAAAATCAATGTCTCCATTGACAAAACACAGAGCCATGAAATGGGCATGGTTATTGACACAAACATTTGTCATTGTTTGGGTCTGTTTGGTACCTCTGTATGTTGAAGATAGTTGTTAGTTAGAACGGCTTAATAGATTAAAATCATTATGTTTCCAAACACCATAACCAACTGTAAACTTCCTAAAAAAAATCTTAAGAGATAATGAAATAAACAAACAAACCCCATTTGAATTCATAGAAATTAAGAGACAGAGAAAAGACTAAACACAGGATCGAAGAAATAAATCATCAAATATTTATAGATGCAGCCACAACGTGGGATTCTCACCACTAGACTACTGCCACTTTGGGACAGCTATGTCTAATTACTTTATTAAAGCCGTATAAAGAGGTTTAAGGAAGACTACTGCCCAAAAAAAAATGTTTAAGCACACAGTTCGACCATAATGCATAATCCCTTCGTATCTTGAATGATCCTTTTGCTATATTGCTTCTGCTAGCTCCAAGTAAATTGGGATTTATATTTTGTAATATCCAAACAATTGTAGCAGGGTAAAAGATTGAAATTTCAGCAAGCAGTTATATAACTTAACTTCAACAAAATGCAAATGTTTTGTGTATATATTGGAATGCTCTCTAAGGTAACAATCACAATGAGCATTGGAATGCTTTATAGTGAACTGTGGATAAATTACAAATTTCTCAATCTGACATTTCACACTCAACGAATTGATGGCCCTTTAGCCCTTACATTGCCCTGTACGCAAAGCATAATTCACACTTTACGGTCTTTTAAAACAAGTGGATAGAATTCACTGGGTTAGCTTAAGTGGGAAAGATGGATTCGAACCATACCTGAGAATGTAGGTTTGAGTCTCTCTTTTGCTATTTGGGTGCAAACAATTCTAATAGGTCCCATCCACCACCTTTAAAGGTGGAGTTTTGCCTAGTGCTTGTGAATGGGATAGCTTGCAGATACTTGTAAGATTAGTTGAGTTAAAGATCTAGATACCCATGTTATTTAAAAAAAAAAAAAAAAAACAGCAGCGGCAACAACAAGAGATTGGAATGCTTTCTAAGGTAACAATCACAAGGAGCATTTGAATGCTTTAAAGTGAATTGTGGATAAAACATTTCAGAGGCAACGAATTGATAGCCCTTAACTTGCACGCCAGGCATGATTCACACTACATGACCTTTCGAAACAAGTGGAGAGAACTTCTTGGGTTGGATTTAAACTACACTTGAGAACGCCAGTTTGAGTCCCTGCATTGTTATTTAGGTGCAAATAATTCTAATAGGTCATGTGTCCCACCCTTGGAATGCTTATATATATAATGAATCAATGAACTAAAACAGCAAGTCAGTCTAACCTCACTTGGGAAAATCATCAAACATCTGGTGGGCATAAGTAGACTACATTCCTCTAAACTCTGTATCCTCTCCTCTGCCCCAAAAAATTTCACAAAAAAAATACCCCAGTTCAATTGGACCAAAAACCAATAAATTCATTCAATGAATAAGCAGCCAACATCATTATCTAAGTTCATATGAGACCGTAATACATTTGAACATGGGAAGATAACAAGAAGTTAGAAATTGTGTTTAAAAACAACTTTAACCAACAACAAATAGCTAGCATTACAAAGGCAGAAAAAACAAATCATAATTGCCTTTATTCTCTCTTTTTTTCTTTTTTTTTTTCTCTTCTTTTATCCATGATAAAGGCAAAAAAAAAAAAAAATTATTGGTACAAACTAGCCCCTCTAATAGGTATAATTGCTGATATTTCACCCTTGTGTCATGCACCATAACTTTTGTTAAAACAGAACTTCAAGTTCACTGGTGACAATCATATATACACCTTTATAATCCAAATAAAAAGCTATGTAACGGGAAACAACAGATCTGATATACTAATGTGCATGGTTAATTATTACATATCTGGTACACTAATGAGCATGATTATTTATTG